TCAATCACACTTTGTTGTTGTTGTTGGAAAAAATAAAAATAACAAATTGTAAACCTTAAACTTCAGGACCGGGTCCAAGCTAAACTTATATTTGTATTGTCCCGATCACTCCTGGTTTCACTAGCAATTTGAGAAAAGGGGTTTCTTTTGGACTTTTATTCCGGGCCCTCCCTTTGCCTAAATTAATTCACAAAGTTGTCATTTGATAAAAAGCTTGATTGCATTTCCTTTTACTTAAATTGTGTAATGGAACCAGTCGTAGACATCATATATTAATTTTGCACCAAGAGTTATTTAACCATACCTAGCATATAGCTAAATATACCCTACGTTAAGTCATACACATACACATACTATAAACTTGTATGCTCATTCCGAGGTATAGCTGTGTGTACCCTCCTAGGGAAGACAGGAAAATAAGTTTTGGGCTTATAAGTACGTTTCAAGTATAGCTAGAAGCAGAAATTTACTTCAACCAGATCTAGATAAAAGTAAGGTCCACTGGAAAACAAACTCAATCAATTATAAATTATAAATTAAAATTACCCTGGGATTAATTCCATTAAAATCTATTAAAAATAATGAACTTTGCTAAGATTTAAATTAAATTAAAATAAATCAAATTAAGTAAAAGTAAATAAAATAAACAATGATCCACTAAAATTTGATTAACCTAATTGTATAGTCTTAAAATTAATGGAAATATATCTGCATAAATAGAGTAACGCGATATGAATTGAAATCAAATCAAATTTTGACAAAAAAATTAACTAAGATAAGTTTGAATAAATAAATATTTAGAAATTATAATAAAGAAATGGCCATTACATAACGAATAACAATATAAATAAATAATAATAATAATACTAATAATAATAATAAACTAAAAAGGAAAGAGAAAGAATAGAAAGGAAAGACTGAAAGAAATTAATTAAATTAACTGAACACCAAAAAAAAAAATAAAAAAATTAAGCAAATAAGTAGAGAAGTATAAGGGAACTGGAAATTAAAGTTTATTTAGATTATTTACCGGCTAATGTCTATTTTTCTACTGAATTACTTACCAGATTTAACTTAACTTTCTCAACCTTTTTCTCAAAATACCTTACCCAGACTTACTTAAGTGTACTTACCTGCTATGGCTTAAAATACATTCGCTTTTCGAAAACTTGATATACGCTACTTTAGTTTCCTTATATTTATATATAGTTTCCTTAGATTTAAGAAACACGCCTACCTAGTTGTTTAAGTAATCACCAGCTTTAGAAATTAGGATCTAGCATTAGGACGATTAGTTTTAAGAATTAGTTTTAAGAAAATGAATTATCAATAAGTTTGTTATTATTAAATGGGAANTTTGCGTCACCCGAAATTGACTTGCATGCGTTTGCATTTGATTTCATTGAGCGAAACGTCAAATCAAAATGTCTCGCAGAACAAAAATTGGAAATTGAGTTAGCTTCATACGCACGCCGTTCAATTTCGGTTGATCTCATACAAGTTGCATGTGCATGAGAAATTTTTGACGATAAATTGGCGGCGTGCGTGAATATTAGGTTAGCCTGTTAGTCAAAAATGGAAACATATATACATATTTGAAATTTAAGAAAACAAGGAAAATAGCAAAATCGGCTAATTTTTTTCTGCAAAAGNGTTAGGCTTTTATTATGGGGCTACCGATATTAGGGTGCGACGGTAGCCATAGATGAGGGTGGGATAGCACCGGGCGTCACAACTCCAAAAGTGGCGCCCATATGTTCGGCCTTAGGTTGTGTTGTTTTGATCATTTTCTTTCATTTTAGAGTTTTAGTTGGATTTTTTTTTGGGGTTCTTTTGCTGTTCAGTTTTATTTTAAATTTTTGATTTTAACGTTCTTTTCAGCTTTTTTTGCGGTTGTGTTAACGGATTTTTTTTGAAATTTTTGAATTGTGTCTGTTGTGGGGGCAATAAGCTTTTTTACTGACCCATATTAAATTNTGCCGGCTAAATCGAAATTTCTCCGGCTGTTTGCTATCGAAACCGGCTAAGTCTAGCCGGAAAACGGCTAAAATGGCAACACTGCACACCACTAGGCGCCAACCGACTAGTCAAGCCCAACGCTTACCTAGCGAGACTGACTCGACTGCGCACTTGTTCAGCTTTTTATACTCGTTTCTGCGTCTTTGGTTTGAGAATTCGTCGGTAGCTGGCGAACGAAGTGGTTGGTATGCTGCTAGNTCACCAAATGTTATGGGGGCAATAAGCTTTTTTACTGACCCGTATTAAATGCGAGATAAAGTACGATAAAAATAGTTTGTAGGCTTTTCCAATTTTATTTAACAATAATTATTGATTTGTATTCGCTGCTTAAAACTATATGCTAGCGCTCTTTACAATATTAACAATAAACGAGTAGTATGTATGCGCGAAACACCAAGAAAGATATGCAGGCANAAACGGCTAAAATGGCAACACTGCACACCACTAGGCGCCAACCGACTAGTCAAGCCCAACGCTTACCTAGCGAGACTGACTCGACTGCGCACTTGTTCAGCTTTTTATACTCGTTTCTGCGTCTTTGGTTTGAGAATTCGTCGGTAGCTGGCGAACGAAGTGGTTGGTATGCTGCTAGCCAGGGTTGCCACTGACGACAAAAAATACTTACCATCCGCTTGAAAAAAATCTACCAAATCTGGAAAATATCTACCATTAACTTTTTTATAGTTATTTTAATAAAAACTATAGTTTTGTTATTTGTTTAGTTATATCAATAAGAATTAAAATTGTTTTTAAGGAATTTTTTATTTAACTAATTAAACGGTATTCAACCCAAAGTGAAAGTGATGAAACTAAAGGCAGCAATGAAACTTCATCCTTTGAAATAACTTCATCTCGAGTTATTATAGACAAATACAGTGACTTCAAAAGGCGCTTGGTGATTTTCTTGTTAATATTCACAATGTTTTTCAAGTAAAAAATATTTGTTATTTTTTTGCGTTTTAACTAACTCCATATAAAAATCAAGGATTCAAACTATATACAATATTTAGAAAAATTCCAAAAAATTTGGACTAAATTTCGAATTCTTTACTCGGAATTTGTAAAACAATTTAAGGTATGGAGTTTTATAGCCCATAATATTTGAGTATAGCCAACACTGTGCAACTAAAAATTCCCGTTGATTTTTTTTTT